AGCAGCTAAAATTTTGTGTACAATCATTACTAGATGGGCTCTGTAGATGAGCAAAATTTCAGGTGAGGTTTCGGCATGACCAACCTAACCATTCCCTTGTCAGTCTAGAACCGTTCTTTGTTACCAAATAAATTGCCAAAATTCCTAAACCGTAAGAGTTAGCTGAAATCTGTTTGAAAATTTGAAAATCTCGTGTTTATTTACGTATTTCAATCGCAATATGTCCAGATCTAACTCTTACGCTTTAGGCGTGGCAAGCTGTTGAAGTTAAGGAACGAGCGTATATTTATTACATGTTTTGGGTAATTATTTCAACAATGCGTAAAATATGCATTATAGAATAAAGCAAACATCATGTAGAAAAAGCCCTTTATTTACTCTTTAATTTACATATAGGTTTATATTCTCTATCTTACATAGGTCTCGAGTTATTGGCGTTTGAAGAAGTTACACACCAGCGTTACCTTAATCTTACAGTTTCCGTCGTGATTTTATAAACGTTATTCAACGTTAATATACTGGAGTAGAGAAAGTCTACATCTTATACATGAAGTTGCAGTTCATGTTTAAAAATTGGGGTTTTATGCATAAATTATTAATTCTTAAGGTTATGTAAGGCTACCACTGATCAAGAAGGAAAGGTGCCAACTGACACCATTATTAGCTCAGATGAGAAAGGCCATGCTCTGGCACAGCCACCAAATAGTCTGCTTGTACAAAGGTTATCCAAGTTAATGCTCAGAATTCAGAATTGTTTTCATTACACTAGACAACAAATTTTAATGAGTTGTATATGTCGGAAATGAAACTAATCAATCTTATGTATTTTCGTCCGCTAATTTCGAAAATGACAATAAAAAAGCTTAGTTAGTTCGCGTTTTGAAGATATTTTGTACTTTGTAAAATATCACCAATAAATTCGTCCATATGATATGCAAATGTTTAAAAATTTTACCTACCTTATAGACGTTGTCTTTTGGCCTTTCTTCAGTATTTTACCTCGGGGGAATCTCTTACCACCGACCAGCAGTAATCAGCTATCATTGATGCGCTCCATTCCCCCTGATAACGCCACCAATTTATTAAACATCCCTTAGGGATGTTGACTAGACCTACAGGAAGCAATAAAACCTTCTCCACCCTTGTACAGGCTGTTTCTGAAGTAAGTAGTCCATTACAGTTCTGAAAATTACGAAAATTGAGCGAAACGGCTTGGTGTGATTATCTCCGAAATGCGAACCAATCATGCAAAATGAATGTCATTTTCGTGTTTAGAAGCTCAAAATTAGTAAAAATTGGCAAGTTTCTTCTCTGATATATTTTGGCTGTTGAACAGTGTTATTGTTTTATATTTCCCCAAATGATTACAGTATTTTAGTGCTCGTATCCAGTGAGTATTTGTTCATATCACAGGTCAACCAATAATATACCAGTCCAGAACCCCCGTAACTGTTGTAATTAAAACTTTGAACTGACCAGCAAATCACGTGTGAAAGATCCCACCCTTGCAAGTGATCTGGAAGTTAGGTCATGAACACGTGCAGTACGATAGTGGACACAGTTGACGGCGGGCTTTCAGCCAGTAAACAAAACTTTTGTACTTTTTATGGGAAGTTGTGTATAAGACTATCCAAATTTCAAAAGTAAAAGTGTTCTGTGTTTTTCTTTTATTAGTTGTTCCTAATTTGTTTATTTATAAAAATAATACCACGTCAACCCTGAGGTGATCCTTGTTCCCCACTGACTCTAGTTTGGGATATAACTACCGAGTCTACAATTTATGAGGCTGCGGTCGTGCTTGCATTTCGTGGTCGGCCGGCGCCCCGTTGATGTGGGCGGGAGTCGTGCGCGTTCTTCCAGTGGGTGACCGGCGAATCAGTTTCAGTGATGGTAGTAACAGCGAACTACGAATATTTCTCGTCACTAATACATGCTATTACATTAACTGTTCTTACCTTAAATCACAAAAAATGTTCAAAGTGACTTACTTGTGCTTGCAGGCGACTTCACATCTCGTTAACATGTTTCGAAATACTCGACGAAGCTCTTCTTGGGAAATTGCCGAAATCAGTTGTCGAATATTTTCTGTACACACACTGTCAGACAACATCTTCTGTATCCCAAAATTCGGAAAGGGCATAAAATCCGTATTGTTTCCCAGTATTCAACCAACATGTAATTACTTACAATTAGAAGATATAAGTTGGGAGTGTAAAATGATGTATTGGTAAGCATCTGAAAACAGAAGAATTTTTATTTTATATAATTTACTAGATGAAGCTTACCTCAACATCTAACTTTTATTATTTATTTTGTTTGTATTAAAATCCCTCTGCATAAAGATCCAAAATACATAAAATCGCAAAATCCAAAAAGCCATAGTTCCCAGGGGTTTCAGATAGGGGGTCTGGTGTGTGAATGCGTGAGTGTGTGCGTGCGCGTGCGTGCTCAATTACTTGTGATTCTTATGGCACTTATTTCTAGAGACTTTGCACTTCAAAATAAATATTAGCATAAGTGAAATGCATAATTTCTTTGAAAAATGCATTACATTATGCTGAATTTGTCTTGTATGAAGCATGTTTTTAAATATTCTGTCTACAGTCAGACTTAATGTGCCATTTGTGACGAATGTTTCCAGTTAGTTACACTTCAGGCAGCACGGTTTGGAAGAAAATCATCCAAAAAGAATATTCATGTGGAATATATTTGTAAAATTATTGTTTTCCATTTTATTTGTTAGAGTTAATATTCACAATACTTCATGTTGGATGCAGGCCACCTGTTGAGCCCCAGCCCCACGCCTCACGTGTTTACTCGGTGGAGCACAAGTCGTCTCAATAGTGGTGGCACCTCTGCCAGCACCTCGCCTTGTGGGTCCACGCGCTCTTCATTCAATTATCGGCAGCCGTACCTGGGATGGAGGTCTCAAGAACGGCTCGCGAGACCTCGCACTCCAGCGGAGCGGCTTGCTGTAGGACTACTGCCCGCACAACAGCAACAGCATCAGATCGCTAGCCCACAAAACATCATCACCCCCCAGCAGGAGCTTCAGCAGATACTGCAGCAAGAAGTGGAACTCGAGCAGCTTCAGCGAGAGGATGAGGAACAGGTATTAAAAAAATTTGTTTGGTGGAATGTCACTATCAGCTGTGATATGGACGTGTTTGTAGTTTCTTTAATTTTGAAACCAGAGAGAAAATGACTGATGTGTAGCAGCTACTCTGTGACAATGGAGGAAAGTACCATCTGTGACTTGCCTTCACAGGTAAGATGTATTCTCATAGCCATGGGAAAATTGTACTCTGTACTGTTTTCAATCGCTTTCTTTTTTAAGTTCCATTATCTTCATGTGATATTTTATATCACTGAATCAGCTGCAGGAGTTAATGTGTACTTGTATGTGTATGCGTATAATTGGAAATATCGTTGGGTATGTATTAATAGTTTGTGCCTGACAAAGTTAGATACTCATAAAATCTGCGTGCACAAATGGAGTAGGATTATCTTTTTTGCACTCTCACTCTGTCTAGTTATTTGCATTATTTGCACAAATTTGATGCTCTGAGACTAATACATTGGCTGTATTGAGGATTAGGAGTGACGTTACTGATTGCTGTATTTTATTCTAACCCCATGCAGCAGCAAATGAACGGAGTGAGATGTTATACATTTGGCTGTATCTCAAAGTATTAATTCTTCTGTCAGCATTGAAATCTTATCATCGTAATCTTTAAATGAACAAGGATGAAGTATATATATTACAGGCCTAATCAATCTCGTGTGACAAGGTTTGTGTACATAATCTTCGCAGCAGATAACTGACAGCAATTCAGTTCTCCATTTCACATTTTACTTCTGTTTATTAAGTAGGAAATTATTAAACTGTACGGGGGGGGGGGGGGGGGGGCAGTTTAACTACATCTTACATGATTTTTACCCTAATGTGGTGGTCCTGGAACCGTCCAGAATGATTACATACCACTGGACCAAATCGTGTGCCAATAATTTTAATTGATTGACTTTCTGCAGTAACCATGGTGATAAAAACTAATACTTTTTTTTAATTACCTTCACAAACATGTTTATTACAGAGTTTCGGTTTTTTGTTAAATTTGGTTTTATATATTTAAAAATAATTTTAAGTGGTTCTTATAAGTTTTAGAATCACTCAGCAGTTTCCATGCAAATCCTTGAAATTATTTCATTGCCTAAGATTTCGCTATATATGTAATGAATGAAATATTCACGAAAGTAAATATAAAGTTTATCATATTATAATATTACACAGTATTACTGTGTGTTCCTCATCACTACTTTGAGTTTTGAGGAAAACAGTATAACTTCATGAGTACTGTGTTTATATCTCAGTTCTTGCAGTGACTTATATTAGGAAGATATCCATTGAAAAATTGATGGACAGTATAATTTGTTATACAGTCAAACCCCAATACAGCATCCCTCTGTATACTTCCATTGTCACATTGTGCTCATGAAAGCCTAGAAACAGATAATCCCTGTGTAATTTTCAAAGGAATCTTGTTAATGTGCCACCCTTACTAGTGACAGTCCACCAATATCTGTTGTACAACATTTGTACCATTTAGCGTTATAATATAGTCCAATGTAGTGCCATAGTATTGTGTTACCAGCAGCAATACAGACAACTTTAAAGATCTCGGCATTAACAAATGAAACCTAATTAGGTAAGTAACCACCTACGTTTCCTTGACAAGGGAGTTGGATTGTAAATTTAAATGTAATGAGGATTGGCATCTTTAATTGTGGTATTGCCTTTAGACAGGGCTCTATAGACACATTGGTTTTCATAGGCCTCTCTTCATGATTTCATTTTGGTATTCCAGACACTTGGTCTGTACCAGATGAAGCCTGTCCACCTTAAGGCTGTATATTGTAGATCACATTTATCCACAGGTGTGCTGGAACTGCCAGTTCTTCTGGTGGTATGCCAGAACCATTTACTCCCAAAGAGGTGACATTATAAGTGGTAAAGGTAGATGTCTCACATGTGGTGAATTTTCTGCCCCTGGTTATCATCTCAGCAGCCCAGACTGGCTGATGTTGTTAGTTCCCCAGAACTGCTGGCTGACTCATGAGAATAAGATCCGTAAAGAGGCTTTTATTCGGTTTTCAATGATTACACTAGTTTATTTATATCACTATTCTCATTGAACTAGTGTTGGGCAGAAAAAGGCTGATGCCCATCAGTTGTCGTATGACAGACATTAAGTAAATGAATGAACATTCCTCTTTTGGGGGGCATGATATTAATATATTCCAGATGCAGCAAGTACCAAACCTGTCTGAAGTCCGGACGTCAATCAAGGAGGTGACATCTGCCATTGTCCACTATGTTTCTGGGGTGCGAGATGGTTCTGGTGAAGCACTTGCAGGTGATTCCCAATGGGACTCACTGTCACCTCCTCGTGGTGCAGACTGGGACATTGCCTCTACACCTAGAGGCTCTCCTCGAGGTAGCAGTGGTCGCCTGTGTTGGCTGGAAAGTTCCTTTGTAGGCACCAGGCCTCTGGATTCACCAGAAACACCACTCACACTTACTAGTGCTGATGTAAACAAAACACTTGAAACACTACAGCAGCAGCAGCAACAACAACAACACCAACAACAACAACAACAACAAGATGGTGGAATAAATGTCATAAGGAAGTTGAGTGGAACAACAGGAACGGGGCCACCTGATCTCTACCTGGACCTTAGTAGCAGCCAGAGGGTCCAAAATTTTAACACACACCATCACCACCAAGTAAATGGTGAGTATCTATTGACATGAACCAGTGATGCTTTAAAGCCTGAGTTTTAAAATGTGATGTGACCTAGTTGTAGACTGTGCAGATGGGACCAAGAAAGGGATTTGAAATGTGTTTTGCGATTTCTGAATTAAAACATTTTGTAAATATACTGAAATGCTACATTTTAAATGGGAAATTGATTGAATTTGACAAATTTTAACAAAATGTTTCGGTCTACATCTCTTTACTAAATTATATTGAATGCCACAAGAAGATAGATTCTTTAAAGTTTCTGAATAGGTGAGAGAATGGCCACAGCCACCATTGGCAAATTCTGATGCAAAGCTTCTAAGTCTTATTTACTAATCTTTTGGAATATTTATAAACACTTATTCTGTAGGTCCCTACCCAGACAGTAATGATAAGAACTTTTGTAAATGTTTGTCTTCCCATTAGAAAAGACAAAATTAAGTATTTAATGTTTCCATTTATGATGAAAATGTTAATGGGGATACAATATTGAAAGTATTTTGTGGATTTGGAAGACCTTTATTTGTTTGGTGGCATTGTGCTTCCAGTGATTAGGGCCTTGTGGGGTCCAAACTGTTGTATATTTTTTTAAAAAGTGTGTATTCATATATGTTACATAATCAGATTGTTGCTGCTTACAAAATTTACAAGAAGTGAACTGTGATTGGTTTATCTTTGCTAGAGGTTTCAAGTATTGATCATTAGCAGAAAACTTATGAATTAGGAAGCATTCAGTTTTGTAGCTGAACCGTGAGAATGCTGTAATTTTGTATATTATCCCCTTTTTATGTCTGCTAACATTCACAAGTATTTTAAGATTTTCCTTTATGGGAAGAAATTGGTTTGGGTGGACTAAGTGCCTGTTCTATGGCAGTTTTAAATTGCATGTAAATGTGTTGTTCGATTGATTGATGAATGATGCATCTCATACTCACCTGTAGCTATTAAACTACCTTTTATTTTTGTTCTGTTCATGAATTTCATTGACAGGTTACCAACAGAAAGATATTTTAAAATATGTGTTGCATTGGAGTTTTCCCTTTTTTTCTTTTTCTTTTGAAAATTTATACTTACTGCCAAAAATGTATTCCTTTTTCTTTGTTTTTGTTTTTTGTTTACAAAGATAAATATCATTATCATTATGAAATTTATATGTGACTTTAAGCTTTCACAGTGACTAAATGACAAGCTGCATAAATTTGGAGCAATAGCCCAACATTTCAAAAACCCTGTCTGTCTCCATCATAAGGGAATGATGTGATGGATGGCTGATGTTTGCTAATTATTTATAATATCAATGCCCTTTTTTCTGTCTGATCTTTGACCAATGGGAACTAGTGGATAAACTGGTCTTAGTCGTTTGCTTGGAGTCAGCACACCTGGAATCGTTGATCGGAATGAACAGTCGCTGTTGTCAAAAAACAGCCATTCATCTACCGTCAGTCAAAAGTACCTTCAACTGCATCTGCAGTAACCCCCCTGGCTTCTATCTGGTCTCCATGTTGATTAATCTGGTCCCTCACTGGGGGCGGTAACTCTTCAGATCCAGTTCTGTACCTGTGTTACCTAACCCAGTCTCGGGCCTGTCCAACCCATCATACTAACCAGGAGTACAGAGAAAATGGATCTGTGCTGAGCCAGACATGGTACAGCCTCATTATCATATTCCAGAAAGTGAATAAGGTTAGGAAATGCTTGGATAGGACAAGTTGGAGAGTACTGAGGGCTTGTTAAGCAGCACAGACACAGAACAGGACTGGAGAGTTTCTGCACCTGCGAAGGATGGTGTTAAGCAAGCCAGAGGGGTGACTGCGTTGCAGATGACAGTACTTTCTTACTTATGACAGTTGATTGCAAATGGTTTTGAGATGGAAACCCACTGTTCAATTACTATATAAGAAAGGACATTGATTATACATATGAACAAGGTACAACAGTCATCCATCACAACATTCCCTGACGATGGAAACTGAGAAGGTTTATGAATTGCTCCGAATTGACATTGCTGGTTGATCGAGAAAATATTATCATGAAAATTTGTTACTGAATTTAAAACAACACATTGATTGTAAGAAATTTTGTCTTTCACAAAACACTAGTTTTGATAGCTCTGAGGAAGAATGTGTTGTTATCATAAGATGTCTGAATGCAGATATATGCTGTCCTGTAGATTAGTTATATAGCTTTATAAAAGTCTCCCAGTAGATGTTGTTTTACCTGTAGTAATATCCACACATTTAAAGTAGAAAATGCTTGTCTTTCATTATTAACATTTATGTTCATATTTTGTGTCATCTGTTGGAAACTGCGATTATGGAGATCAAGTGAAATGTTAAATATCAACAATATTTGGTTTAACAATAACTTTATGAAGATGTTGAAGGTTTGACACATTGTAAAAAGTGAATTTTAAAACCATTAACACACATGTGAGATTAATTTGGTGTTATCAGTGAGTCACTGATGTGAACATGTCATACTGGATTATACATAGTAGCTTGTGTAAGATGCAGGAGTGAGGATCCTGTTCTAAATTAAGTAATAATATTCATTGTTTTGACAGATTCAAACTGAATTTCTGATTTATCAAGTGAAGTCCTTAATTTACTTAAAACAACTATGTTGTAACCAATCAGTATAGTCGCTAAAATGCGGTGTTATCCATGTGTTATTTTTATTTGCATTTTCTTTTATCAGTTTTGTTTATAAGCTTGTATTCTCATCTTTGGCTTCTAACAATACCAATTGCATGGATTGAACCTTTTTTTACTGCATGCATTGTTGTGTTGTTTAGCACAGAGGTTATTAAGTCAGCTTGATTCATGACAGATGGAAAATATAGTAAGTTTGGCTGAAATTGGTAATGAGAAATTAAATTAACACAGTTTGCCAGTTTCTGGCTGAGGATTCTGTGTATTATTTCAACAATTACTTAATGTGGTTTACCTCATACTTTCAGTTTAAGAAGCAGTAGATTGAGTATTATACGATACATTTCAAGTTATAAATATGTGGCGCTACACATGATATTCTTTGCAGCTTAACTGTTAATGTGGGTTTTGCCTAAACTATGAATGTTAAATTTAATCTAATGTATTTATGGATTCCTATCTCTCTCCATTTAATTTACAAGTGCTCTATTGTATGAGATCTGACATTATCATATAAAATGTTGCATGTATTGTCTTCTCTTCCTAAATGTATAATTCCAGTAGATTTCCTCTGATGTGATTTTAAGTCTGGTGTGTTAACTTTAATTCTGAACAGAGAAGGTTTGTTCTTATATACTCTCTGACCCCATGCATGCACCCCCCCCCCCCCTCTCCAGACAGACACATTACAATAAGACAAAACCATAGAACTACTCCAGAATTGATGTCAACAATGTGAGATATTTTGTCGTTGTGCTAGACACTGTTTGGTATGTTCCAGTTAATGAGGAAGGAAAATAATTTTCAAGCATTGTTTTCAGTCAGCACTCTGATAAAATGTATAAATTTCCATATTATTTACTTCAATTTATTGGGAATTTTCACAAACACACAACCTACCAATTACTTGTAACACAACTTTCTTCATACATTGTTTACTGAAGTACTACAATTACATTTTATTATCCAATTATTTCAATGCCAGGCAGCTCAGTCAGTATAGTGACTGACTACAGGCCGGATGTTCGGGGGTTCAATCCCAAACAGAGGCAGTGGTTTTTCTTCTAGCCTCTACATTTAAGCTGGCTCTGGGGTCCACCACGCCTCCTGTCCAATGGGTACTGGGTGTCCTATCCCCAGGGTTAAAGTGCTTCTATGCAAATTTCAAACCTGTTTTAACTTTTAATTTGTGAACTTTATACATCTTTATGACAAAAAGTGTTGGGTTAAACAATACTATGATGGAATTGTTAGTGTTGGTAAAGGCCAGAACTAGCCAACAAGTGGTCTGGCTCCATGACTACTATATGATTAAGATAATGATATTGCCAAATTTGCTTTTAGTTTATTACCTACTAGCAAGTTAATTGCATGTCAATTCTGTGATTTCTTCCGTCTCTGCTTAGGAAAATGGCTTGACCAGGTGCAAAGTAATTAATTGCCTGCCAAAAATGTGTTCAAGTCACAGACATGGGAGAAGTCCATTAACTTAGCACTTTGCTTCAGAGGATAGGTAGCATATAATATTGAGAAAAGTACACCTTTTTGGAAACATGTAAATAACTTAGTGTCAAAAGAAGCCTTCACCGTTGAACTTTGTTGGTTTTAATTACAGTAACAATTCAGACTCTCCACCACTCATTTGGCATGCTACTGTTGTTGAAGAGCTAATTATGAATTGTTCACATGCCAGCAGTTCAGTGAATTTTTGTTCCTGAAAACATTGAAGATACGTTGTTTGATTACTATATTCAGCCATTCCTTTGTTGTTATATATAACCATACCTTCACGACATATATATTGAAATTAGACAAATTATAATAACAGTAATCCACTTCAGTTTTAAGGAACGCTACCATAATGTATGTATGTGTTCTTAAAACTCAATTAGTAAGTAGCATGTTTAAGAATTAAATATGCCTTGTATATCAGTATTGTTATGTGCATGTATTTGTTTCATAAATATGATCACAGATAACTTTAATGCTGTATGTGAGCACTGGATAGCTGTAGCTGTAGTGGTTGCACAGGAAATCACTCTGTAGAGTGAGGAGAATGAACATATTATTTACAGCAACACCTTGGAAACTGTAAATGCTTGTAAACTTTAAAATAGTATTCAGCTTCTCTCATGAGCTGGGGTAGTTCAATCAGTATATTGACTGACAACAGACTGGACCACCAGGTTTCGATCTCTAGCAGGGACAGAGGATTTTTCCTGTAACCACAGCATCCAAACTGGCTCTGGGGCCTTCCCAGCCTCCTGTCCAATGGGTAATGGGGTCCTTTCCCATGAGTAGAAGTCAGTTGGGGTGTGCTGCTGACCACTCACCCCCTTG